CACCATTCGAGGAAACGTACGGGCCACTACAGGAGCGCCCAAATTCATCCAACTAGAAACGTTTCTACTCTATTTTTTTCCGCTGCCGATAGCTGATCCGATTACTGGTGGTTTAATCCCCTCATCTGAGGGCAATCAAAGCTGTCCGTCGTCTACAGCTAATTTAAAAATCGCTGTCTTTGAAATTGGGACGCTGGACCCCGTTTCCAGCTGGTGCAGCTCCGCACCAGTAGATTGGTGCCATCTAGCACAGGGAGTTTATTATTAGAGATTATTATTGGGGGATGCGCTTATCACCCCCAATTTTTTTGCATGTGGGATATCCAGCGTGTGGGATATCCAGGGTGATCCAGTGCATGCGAACAGAGTTGTTTGGGCGTTGAGTCGCCATAGCCAATTGAAAGTGAACTCGTATCTGGATGCCATATCTCTGAGTTTTGAGTGGGCGCATGTCACCAGTATGCTGCACTGCTGTTTACATGCATGAAAAGTGTGAATGAAAGCGAGTCTGATTGCACATGGATGTTTTTGTTATAATTTTTTTTTTCTTAAAAGTAGAGGGTTTCCAATCCAAATTCCGCATTCATTAACATGTAGCGGCCACCGAAGAGAGTAAGAACACCACTTGGCATATGCAGCAGTACCTTTCTTTCCTTTTTTTTTTTTTTTTTTCAAACCAGCAGTGATGAAGAAGGAGAAGAAGAAGAAGAAGAAGAAGAAGAAGACGAAGAAGAGGGGGTCCGATCAAAATTCTACATTCCTTAACATGTAACCGCCACCGAAGAGAGTAAGAATATCACTTGGCACATACAGCAGGAGCTGCAGGTCCTTCCTTTTTTTTTTTCTTTTTTTTTTTTCAACCACCAGTACACGCCTTATACATCGGGCGCAGGCCGTGTCAGAAACCGAATTGCGACGCCAGCTGCCAATTTCTTTTATCGACGGCGCACCAACGCCGACCTTTTTCAGAAGGGCGACAAGTTTCTTTTCAGCAAGGCTGGGGCCGTGTACTGGTGATTTACGGGCCACGGCCATGAGATAGCATATGGCATCATTGAACTGACCGGCACCAGGTAATTCAGGATTAGTTTATGTTGTTTTTGGTTTTTTTTTTTTCATCATCTGATTGTAAATGGGTTCGAACTCCGATTTTTATTCCAACCGTTTGTGGGTGTACTAACCGAGCTACGCCCATTGGTAGCACGACCTTTCTTTTCCTTTTCTTTCTTTTGCCCTTGTTCTCTGCATCTGGTCTGAAAAACAATTCCATTCATACATTTCACAAAGAGCTTGATGTCAGGAAACGGAAAAAAAAAAAAAAAAAAAAAAAAGGAAAGAAAAAAGGTCCGTTATGGAACATTGAATAAGACCAAAACGTAACTTCAAACAAATACAAACTCAATTTGTGACAATTACAAATGTGCCTTCGACTTCGACTCTCAGCACAACACACTGGAGAGCTTCCTCTTCCCCTCCCCCCCCCCCCCCCCCTCTCTCTCTCTCTCTCTCTCTCTCTCTCTCTCTCTCTCTCTCTCTCTCTCTC